GGAGTGTCTAGGAAGGCTCCTCTGTGTCTCTCAGCTCTTCTTCCTGGAACAATACATCTCTATGCTATTCGGGGCTCAGCATCGGGGCCCGCAGGCTGTATTTACATATTCCAATCACTTCCTCACCCCTAGGACTCCAGTCTGAAACAGTGAGTAACACTCCCGCCTGCAGCACAGATTTAGTAGAAAATGATCCTGGAGTGTCATGGAAGAAATGGAATAGCTGAGAAACAGATGTCTTTGTCTCAGTGGACAGAATAAGAAAGGCTTGTCCTGCTATGAATGAAGAATTGGCCGGTTTCTTCTGGAAAAGGAAGAGCACATCAGCTCCATTGCTAATATCCCACCCCAGGGACATGCAGACTTGTGGTTTGGCTGTCCTTCACAGGCATATCACCTCTTAATGGTGATGCTTTGTAACCTCTCAATGCTCTGCAATTACATTCTGGGAATATCTCAAAGCTGGGCTTGCCTCAACAGACTTCAAGCTGATTCTGCTCTGCCTATACAGATTAGAGGCTGGGATTTCTCAATTTCAATGGAAAAGGGGAGGGAAAGTTGCCTCTAGAAGATAGAGTGAGCGCCAGCTTTGGGAGCGGGGAGTATGAGTGGGTGGGAATGCGCTTGCCCGCTTTCCCCTTTTGACTATTCTTAAACAGACAGCCTAAAGTCTTCCTGGGTACGTTCCTTCCTAAATCCTCTCTTCACCATCGGCAGCTTGTGACTGCATGTGTGGCAAAGGATAAAGAAGGATATCTTCAAGGAAGGCTCCTAAATCTAGAGCAAAGAACATAAGCTAAGTAACAAGAGCTTCTGTTTCCACAATGCCTGGTGACAGCAATGCCAAGAAATATGGGGGAAAAGCAAAAAAAAAAAAAAAAAAAAAAAAAAACTGTTTCAGAAAATTACTGAAAGAAGTCAAGCCAGAAAATATCTCACTAATTCACATTGAAGTTAGAATAGTGGTTCCCAACCAAAGGGGCCACTTTGATTTTTATTGTTGTTAGCAGGGACTACAAGGTTCGAGAGTAATAAACTGTTAATCTAAAAATAAACTTTAATCAAAACTTTTAACATATTAGTTAAACTTAATAGTAACATGAATTAACATGAATTAAAAGTACTATTATAACAAAAAGGGAACATTTTGAATAGAAAATTAAATTCAGTTTGCATCAGTGTGATTTTGGAGCTTGCACCTTCTTTACAAGTTGGGTACTCCTAGGGCTAATATTATTGCTCAAAGCTACACACATATTATCATATACTTTCAATCGATTCCTGGACTTGTTTTTGATTATCATAAAAGCAGAAAACCCTTGCTCACATAAATAAGTTGTGGAGAAGAGCATAAGATAGCACAAGGCGATTCCTCAAATTTTAGTATTAAAAATTGTTTTTTTACACCAAAACTTCTCAAGAGAATCAGGCTCAAATGCATCCTTGCAGTTTCTATCATTTTGAAATTCAATGAACTCTTCCTGGATTTCTTCCGCAACCTCTCCAATTTCAATCATCATTAAATAAGTCAAAAATGAATATGAATATTGAGGACTCACGGTCAGAAAAACTACTGGAGCCTTCGAATCACTTAAACACCAAAATAGAATCGCTGACAAAGGTGAGCAGGACAAATTTTAAATGTTTCGTGGACTATATTTTAGTTTTTGTGGACCACTGGTGGGCCGAAACCACTGGTTGGGAATTACTGAGTTAGAGCAATCATGTGTGGAGTTAGGAGAGTTAAGTTTTTAGTAAGCAATCTTTCTTACTGTATTGTGGTCAGTAGGTGAGTATATATACTGTTGAATTTGATTACCAAAAGTCAGTTTTGGAGGTTCGACATTCTTTCTGAGAAGATTCCTTTTGTTATATGCATCTTCTATATAGTTACCCATCCCTAATCCTCCAAATAGGAGTTCTGTTGTAACCAAGATAACATCATTACTTGTCCGGAATTGCAAAACCTGAAATATTCCAAAATCCAAAATTATCCACATGGGTGGTGGAGATAGTGATATCTTTGCTTTCTGAGGGTTCAATGTACACATAATTTGTTTCATGCACAACATTATTAAAAATATTGGGTGTAAATTATTAGGCTATTTATAGCCTAATAATGAAATAATGAAATGAAATAATAAATGAAGTTCATGTTTGGACTTGTGTCCCTATCTTCAACATATCTCACTGTGTATGCCTATGAAAAGATAGGTATACCAAAATCTGGGGGGGGGGGGGGGGGGGGGAGGCGCACACCCAAAATTCCAAAACATATTAGTAGATAATGGAACCACATGTTTTGACCCACGGAGAACAGAACATCTACAAAAGAATGGAAAAAATAGCCAAAGCTAGGAAGGGCTGGTGTTAGAAAGTGCCGTAAGACTCATGTGCATGAGAGAGAGAGAATATAGAAAACAAAAAGAGGCAGACATAGTTCCAGAAATTCCTTCCTAGCCCCACAAAGGAAATGATTCAGCGTTTTCTCCCCAGGAAACCACACACTGACAAGTTCATGACCCACCCTGCCATTTTTTGGTATGATTTGGTTTTCAATATTCAGGGCATATTTTTCACTCACAGTTATTTTTGAGGAAACTGAATGCACTGAAGGAAAGCGGATCAGGGCAAAAGCTGCCCTAGCAATGACAAGCGCCTGCAGATCTTCCAACTGAGATTGACTTCAGAGATGTTAATTTGGGGAAGGGGGATTTGGACCTGCCAAAAACGCCCATATCAGTATGAGAAATTAATATATCTTCAACAGAACTTGGAAAGGTTACTTTGTTTTTGGATCACATGTCCCGGGATGGCCATGCTAGTTAGGAAATTCTGGGGTTGTGGCCCCAGATCAGTTCCTAAGATCAGTTCCTAAGCTGTGGTCTTGGGCCCATATCAGAGGATCGCCACCAGCCCGTCTTTGACTCTCAAGCAAAATGAAGCCTCAGTTCCTCATCTGGTTGCCTGTGGCCCTGGCTCTGACCTATATGATGTGAGGTGGAAAATTAAATTTTCTGGAAAATTGCTCTTGAAGCCACGGGTGTAATTTTCCACGGAAAATCTCCTATTTTGAGAACCGGCTGATTTCATAAAATTAATTAGTAACATCACAGATTAACACAACACACGCCAAAGTGAGCAATCGGAATGGAAACAATACCAGCATAATATACAAAAAAAAAATCAAAGCTGCCATTGGCTCTTTCCCCCAAGGAACGATCCCTCAAAGCGCACATTCCGTACTTCTGTCTGCAGCTCCTCAAGCACACTAAAATTAGCATGTTCGTGGTTTTTGGTGCCTTCATTTCCCCTCCTGCTAAAGATCAAAATAATTTCAAAGGAAAGTAGGCTATTGAGTTGTAACATCTTAGAAATGTTTGCTCCAATAAAATAATTTCCAAGTGACATTTTGAATTCATTTGAATGCTGACTTGAATCCTAACCATAGTTCCTACTCTCTGGATCAATGGATTTTACCTAAGTATTGGTCTCCATTGTCGTCATCATCTCTGATCCTTTGTGTCCAAGTATGATCACCTTCCAAGTGTAGGGTCTTAGTGGTGGGTCTGTAGGTGACTCAAGAGACCTATGAGGACTTTGGTTTTCAGATGGAAGGCAGTCCTGGTCAGGGTTGGCTTGAGGCACCTTCTCCCTCTTGACATGTTTCTCCTTTTTGCCCTTCATATGTGCCTTTTCAAATTCCACAGCACTGTTGGTAACAGCTGACCTCCACTTAGAATGCTCAAGGGCCAGGGCTTCCCAGCTTTTGGTGTCTATACCACAGTTTTTAATGTTAAGCCCATCTTTAAATCTCTTTTCCTATCCACCAACATTCCATTTTCCATTCTTGAGTTGAATGTATAGCAACTGCTTTGGGAGACGGTAATATTTGGGCATTCGGACAATGTGGCCAGTCCAGACAAATGGATGGTGAAGGATCAAGGCTTCAATGCTGGTGGTCTTTACTTCTTCCAGCACTCTGACCATTGTTTGCCTGTCTTCCCAAGAGATTTGCAGGATTTTTCAGAGGCAACGCTGATGAAATCATTTCAGAAGTTGAGTGTGACATCTGTAGATGGTCCCATTTTCTAATGTTACACCATTAAGCTGTATTTCTGGCATTGCAGAGGGATTGGCTGGTGCCTGCTGAAAGAGCAATTTGGTTTTTTCTATGTCCAGTGAGAGGCCAAGCTTCTCGTATGCTTCTGCAAAGTGTTTAGAGTGGCTTGTAGGTCTTCTAAATGAACACAGGCTATGTTATCTCAGCACATTGGAGTTCTATAACAGACATTGTTGTGTCCTTGGTTTTGACTTTCAGTCTGCTGAGGTTAAATAGCTTGCCATCTGTCCGATATGTGATTTCCATGCCGGTAGGAAACTTCCCATCAACAAGGTACCGTGTTATAGCAATAAAGATGGAGAATAAGGTTGGGGCAACAACACATCCCTGTTTGAACCTGATTCCACCTTAAATGGGTCACTTTGGGAGCCACTGCTGTCCAAGACTATTACCATCATGTCATCATTCTACAATTGATTCATTCTAGTGGAGACTTCCAGTAGGATTCAAGATAGGGTATTTAAAAACACACTAAGCTGCACACTAGATTCTAGCTTAAGTGGCTGACGGGGAAAAAGAAAAGGCCTGAGGCTGTTAGGAATTGTGGGCGTTGAAGTCCAAAACATCCGGAGGGCCAAAGTTTGCCCATGCCTGGTCTAATGGTTTGAAATTTTGATTGAACATTAGAAGGAATGTCTTGATGGCAAGAGTGGTTTGGTAATGGAACTCACTGCCTACAAACATGGCAGGTGTCACTTTCTGAGGACGTCTCCAAAAAAATGTCTGGACAGCTACTGAAAGGAAATGGTCTAGCTGGGGCTCCTGCATTGATGCAACCATTCTATGAGTCTACGATCCCAGTCAGCCCCCCCTCTACATCCTGACTGCTGAAAGAGGTCACCAGGACAGTGAGAAGAGCTTATGGCTTCTCACCTACCTTTGCAAGCCTTACGGTCCGTGATAGATTTGCTCATGTCCCGGTAGAAGCCCTCTTTGCAGTAATGGCAATGTCGCCCGGCAGTGTTGTGACGGCAATTGAGGCAGACCCCTCCACTCTTCCGCCCTGAGAGTTTGTAGAGCTCCATGTTGAAACGGCAGCGGCGGGCATGAAGGTTGCAGTTGCAGGCTACAGGGAAGAGACAAAACAGAAAGAAGAAATAGTAAAAGTAAAGGTAAGATTTTCTCTTGACATTAAGTGTAGTCAAGTCCGACTCTAGGAGTGGTGCTCATCTCCATTTCTAAGCTGAAGAGCCGGTGTTGTCCATAAACGCCTTGTAGGTCATGTGGCTGGCATGACTGCATGGAGCACCATTATCTTCTCGCAGAAGCGGTGCCTATTGATCTATTCACACTTGCATGTTTTTGGACTTCTAGGTTGGTAGAAGCTGGGGCTAGCAATGGGAGCTCACCCCGTCCTACAGATTCGAACCACCAACCTTCTGATCAACAAGTTCTTCAGCTTAGTGGTTTAATCCGCTGCACCACCACAGCTCAAAGAAGAAATAAGTCCCTCTAAAATGCGTGCATCCAACCTCTGCGGGAGCATGACTGCAAAGAGATATGTGGATGGGGGATTTTAAACTGAAGGGACAGAATATGGAATAAGTTACTCTTTGCGATTAGAACTCAAAGGCTCTGCCACCCAGCAAACCCACAAGTAATTATTCTGTGTTCATACCAGTAAATTTCTTTTTTCTGATAACACTATGTAACACATTTTTTTCCCTGGGTGATAAATGCCATTTCCTAATTGGGTCTATCATAAAAACATGGAAAAAGTTTATTAAACTGCAAAAAAAATGTTTTGGTAGGACACCGCGGGGATGCAGCCGTGCAATGGGTTAAGCCCTTGTGCTGCTGATCTTCTGACCTGAAGGTTGGCAGTTCAAATCTAAGGGATGGGATGAGCTTCAGCTATCAGCTTGGAAATGGAGAAAAAGCACCTCTCCCAAAGCCAGAGATGAGTACAGCTTCCAGAGCCTCAAATGAAAAGAAAAGTCTTTGCCTTTGTTTGTATTTGTGTCTCATTGTATATCATTGTAATAAGGCATTGAATGTTTGCCTGTGTCTGCTTATATACTGTAATCTGCAGAATATAAATAAAGGGTAGAAAGTGTTATTATTATGTTATTATCCTGCACCACAGTTTGCTATAGTTTTCAATGAATATCTCATTGAGTCTCAAGTAATTCAACCTAGTTTGTGGCAGCCACAAAAATAAAGTTTTGGAGTAGAAGAACTACTTTCAAAGTAAGTACCACACAATGGAACAGGAATAACACTTTCAAACCAGGAACAGAAAAAAAAAATCAAATATTGAGACAGTGTAATCTGCAAACTCAGCAGGTGGAGCAGGTAACAATGGCTTAGTTTACCATCAAACTATTTGCTGGTCATACCGGAAGCTATTGAATTCACTTATGATTTCAGTTTTACCATAAATGCCTTGTATTCCTTTACCCTTACAAATGCCATGGCATCCAATGGAACAATGGCTTCAGAGGTCTGAAATTTGCTTTATGTTTACACTGCAATTCCCAACACTAGGAGAAATTCCAATGTGTGATAATTAATTCAGTCTCGATGTCACAGCAAACTACAGTTAGACTAAACCAGGGACCTTTTCACAGATATACTCGGTTTCTGAGACTCTTTGAACATGATTTCAAACGGATCTGATCACATTATGTTTGCCTCATTCTATTAGTAATCCATTGGAAAACATCACAAAAATGGAGTAATTGTACATGGGGAGTTTAATCATGTTTTTTGATTTACTACGATTTTATACACTGCGGCACTGTTTTTATGTGTGAGAAAAATCAGTGTATTCCCTCAGCCCAAATCTCTCAAGAATGGGAGTTTGAGACTTCTAAGCTACATCACTGGGCAATTTTAGGATTATTTTTTTTTAAGTGGCATAGGGAGACATTCAAATGGATTAGGAGGAGCCAGCTTTCCATGTTGTGATGGTCAAAGCACAGTATTTTCAAATGGTAAGAATTGTAATAAGCGAGTGCAATGGGGAGAGTATGCATCCCATCTGAATATTTTGGAAATAGCAACCTTCTCAAGCCTTCATTTGTTATTTGTTATGTATATAATTGCTTACTGTATTGTATACGTGTATAATAATTTGCAGTTTTTCTTAACTCTTTTGTTGTGGGAGGGGCTGCTGACCATATGATCAGAACTGGGATTGTTTAGGACTCAGACTCCACTTTAGAAACAGTATGTTTCAGACTTCAGTAGGAGATGTTTTGCTTTCGGGTGCCAGCAGGAACAGTATGCTTAGATTTCAGTGGGAATTGTATGCTTAGAGGCTTCAGCAGAGAGATGCTTTGGACTTTGGACTGTTGATTATAGGAAAGATGCCCCGTGTTACCAACACAGAGAAACTACTTCAAATCTATTTGTAGCTGGATTGATAAGCAAAGTACCTGTATGCTAAATACATGAAGTCTGTGATTAACCAACTATGTTACTTTTAAAGAAGTATGCTTATTTTTGTCTCTTGAGAGAAATATTTAAAGGCAAATAGGTTTTAAGGAAGTATAGAATCCTTTTAGTTGGCAACTAAAAGAACACTTCTGAAACTCTGCTGAATATGTGTGTGTGTGTGTGAACTGGCATATCTTTGTCCCTAACAGTTCAAAGACATATTTAGGACATCAGTTTAACAGCTAAGAAATCTAACTGCCTTATATGAATGCCATTTTCCTAAAAGGTTATGACTCTAACAGGTCATGCTTTTACCAAGAAGTTATGGCATCATTTTTTGAAATGTTGTGACTACTAACAAGGTCATGACTTTCCAAAGATCATAAAATCTCCAAAAGGTTATAGAGATGTTCATTTTTTCAAAAAAAATTAGTATGTGTCCAGTTCTTAAAAAATATGGGTGCAAACTGATATACATGGATTATATCACCATGTGATAAAGTCCCAGGAAAGAAGGAGCTGGAGAGTTTGAGTGCAAGGAAAAGAAGGGAGAGCACGTACTCAAAACACAGTCCAAAGAGCCAAAGAACAGTAGTTTGGCTATGATATCTGGAGTCAGCTAATGCTGATCTGCCTAAGCATAAAATACAGTAAGTCAAAACACTGACTATGCCTATTGGGTGTTGGATGGGGATGTTTTTAATCATGCTGTATCCAACCCTGTCTGTAAAAATCTTGTGAAAGGAAAACAAGCCACATAGGTTTAGAAAGCACAAATAGCCGAGTGCTGTGAGAATGTGCTCTGTGGTAGTATCTTTCTTAGACTGGATCATTTCACATCCCTTAATTCAGTGCTGAGATCTTCTGTGCTTTTAAAAAGCATTTAAAAGTCTTGACGAAAAGTCTCGACTGAGCCACAGTGTCGATAGAAGCACAGTCCCCAAAAAGAAATGGGGGGAAGTGACTCCCCATTTGTTTGGCTCCTGCTTCTTCTATCTGCAGCCATTGCCCATGCAAGGACCACCCGCCTTGAGCTGGGCTGGGACAGAGAGAGGGGGCAGGGGCGTCTCTCCGTTATTCGCTGCCAGAACTATTAAAGAACACGAACAGTACCAGCTGTGGCCAGGTTATGAAGCTGAGGAGGGGGAGGCAGCGGGAACAGCAACAGCAGAGAGCTGCTGCTAAAGTCATTTCCTTGGCTCCCCTCCTCTCTGGGTTTCTTTCCCCCTCTTTTCAGCCACAGAAGGCAAATGTGGGGAGAGAGCTGGGGATCACAGTGTGATAAGATTTGTTTTCTTTTACACAGAATGCCAGGGAGCATCACCAGCTCCTGTTTAGATAATGGGAACAAGGTGCCTTCCAGCAACACCCAATGCCCCTTTTTCCTTTCCGCCACCTGTCCTCTTTCCTCCCCTGCTTAGGCCAACTCTGAGGCTTGGGGAGAGTTTTTCCAGGCATGCTGTGAAATTCATTAATGTGTCAGCCTGCGATTTAACTACTGGGCCTGCTTACCATTTGCATGAAACGTCCCTTCTGCAACACTTCCCCCCCCCCCCATTCAGCACCCCATCCCCGCATTGCTTGCAGCTCTCTCCTGCTCCCTTTAAGCTTCTTTTCCTTCTTACAGAAGGAGTCTTGGGGATATTTTTTTTGGGGGGGGGGCTCAAATGCTTGAAGATCAAACAATTACAAAGCACAACCAGCTTTCTGCTGGCTGGAGTAATGTTCTCCATATACCTTCCCAGAAAACTTTCCTCAGAGCAAGCTATTACAGGTAATAATAACAGTTACATTTCCATAATGCACCCATATACACACCAAATAGGCAGGAAAAAAATCTAGAAACCACATTAAAAATATTTTCAGAACCAAGTAGACCACAGTACTCAATCACTCTAGAGAATGAATCCACTTTCAATCCGGTTTCTGCCTCCTGCAGAATTCTTGGGTTTGTAGTTTAGTGAGCCTGTTAAAAGCTCCTTCCTAAACTACAAACCCCAACATTTTACAGGAGGCAGCAACTGGATTTAAAGTGGATTCATTCTCTAGTATGATGCAGTAGCATAACAAGGTGCCCGCCATACATCATTACTCTAAAAAGGCTGATTTGTCATTCCAAGGCACCCTCTGTCTGAAGTCGAATCAAATCTAAAGAGAAAGAGCCAAAGCAAGGAGGCCATCCACAGTTAGCTGTACCCAGACATTAACCCATGGGTGATCTAGTCTATGGTAAACTGTACTGTGTTGCCAACTTTAAATCACAGAAGGAAACTCCAACACACACTAAGGGCCCTTCCAGACAGGGCCTATATCCCAGGATCTGATCCCAGTTCTTTTGTTTATCCCAGATTATTTGGCAGTGTGGGCTCATATAATCCAGTTTAAAGCAGAAAATCTGGGATATAGGGACATTCTGGAAAAACCCTAAGACAACTTTTACTATCAGGAAATGATTCATAATGCTTCAATGGAATCTTTGAATCCTTTGCTCTGCATGAGAAGCTGGAGCTGACAGATGGGAGCTCATCCCACTCCCTGGATTTGGCTCACAGACCTTTTGGTCAACAGTCCTGCCAGCACAAGGGTTTAACCCATTGTGCCACTGGGGCTCCTTTCAGTTCCTACAAGTCCTGACAACTGGTTAGCTGGCTGGGATTTCTGGGAGTTGAAGTCCAAAACACCTGG